CGGGAGCGCGCGGCGGGCGAGGTAACGGCGGGAGCGCGTGGTAACGGCGGGGGCGGCCACGGCAGCGTGGTGCGCGGGAAGCCCCGCGCTCCCCGGCCTCAGCGCCGCGCTCCTTCCGCTGTGCGCCGTGGCCGCTGCAAATGCTCGGTTCCCCCGGCGCTTCAGTACCTGGTATCCCCAAGGACGGCACTGGGCAAGATACTTCAGACTCCGTTCATGCGAGGAGAAGAGGGGTTTCTTCTCTGTGGTTAATAACATGGGAAGATATTCTTCCTTCCAGATTCTCTGTCTCCTATCTGTATGTTTTAAAGTTTTAAAAAAGTAGATACTTTTGGCAGTTTTTACTCATCCTGAGTATTTGTACTTTGCATTTTGTGGAATTTGTCAGAGTCCTAAGTGCAAACAGGAAGTTKGTAAATTCCCGACTGCTGTTTGTTCAAGTTACAAGCAATTTCATCACTACAGCAGTTCACAAAAAAACAAGCAAACAAAACAAAAAGATCAAAAAACCGAGATTTTATTCTGGTTACATTTGCAAGCATATACCTTTGCAACTAGGATTAGGAATTAACTCCTTAAAATTACAACCTCACTGATGGAAACTTAGCTCACTGTAGGAAACCTACACAGGTAGCATTTTTTTTTCTCTGGACGTGTTTGGAAAGATACTTACTTCAATGGAAATATTTGTTACTCACATACCACCCATTTTATGTGTTAATACTGAGTGTTTGCTTATGGCCCTGCTTGGTTTTGTCTGTCTTCACATTGAATCCTTCTGGGAGAAGCAAATAAGCAGAAATGCTGCTTATGTGAAGACATGAACAGGCTTCAGATYAATGCAGTTTGTCACCGAACCTGAAATTTTGTGCGTATCTCCGCAATTGTGCAGTTTTAGATTTTAACCGCTTAGGAACAGGCATGCTGCTGTTCCTTTGCATGACGGTGCTCTGGTTTTAGGTGTCTTGCTTTCACAGTGCGAGCAGCACCTCTGCATTAAATGGAGGGATTTAGGGACAATTCGGGCAAACATGAGGGCCACGYGTAGGGGTAGCCGTGGGCTGACACGATCCGAAACTCCAGTGCCTGGGATTTTTGATCCCAGTCTCATCTAGTAGGAACTTCGTTTGTTTAAACTTCCCAGAAACGAATCTTTTCCTAGTGGGCAAGTCCTTCCTCGGACTCCACATGCACGCAACAGTCTTGTGTTTGTAACATCCCCCCACCCTTTATCCTTGCCTGAGTTATCACAGAGCTTGGAATGCAGGTTTTCATAGCAGGCACAAGCAGCCTAGTACAACACACTGTCATCCGCAAGAGGTTTGTGCTGTAAGAAATAGCAGAATGTTTCTTCATGTGGACATTCAGTAAACTTTTTGTTTAACGTGTTGCATCATGTTATTCCATTATATGAGAGCCTTAGTGTCGATATTTACTGGTACTTTCTTGGACATTACAGTTTTTATTGGTYTATTTTAAAGCCAGCAGACGGACCATTAATTTGTTCAAGAACCATGCCAAAAATTGGTTATACCAGTTTAGCATGTAAAAATGCCTTTTTTAACTTACCTTTATTTTGAAGTAAAAAGTTTAAAAATTCCAAATTCATATTAGGAACAATACAAACTGATAGATACTGATAATTAATATTCTGCATATTTATTCACTTTTTATGTACACAAAGAACAAGGTACATGTTCAAGATCTAAGGAATGACATGCAAATTTCTTTGCTTTCTTTGCAGTGTGCATGGATTGACAACTCGAGGAACTTTGTAGTTTTAATGAAATGACATAAGATTATAAACAGTTCATTTTCTAGCTGAGAAAGGGGAAAAAGTTTTGTGGTGGCTTACAGAGGTAGAACTACAGAGAAAACTAGTAGAGAAATACACATGCTTCTCATTTTTTTTCTCCTATGCAGTTTCTCTTTTCTTAAGCTAAGTTTCTCAGCTCCACATTCCAAAAAGAAATGTTGATTATTCTTTTCTATATTCATGTAAAAAATGAACCTAAAGCCAAAAATGTGCTAAAATCCCTCTCTATGCTCAACTTTTCCTGAAAATACTTGTAAATATATTTTTGAATACCAGCACCTAAATTCGTAAATGTTCATATAGTATTGTGAGAGGAAAAGGAAGTTTGTTGTTTTTGCAATTACAAAGGATAAAAAGAGTTGCGCAAGTTTTTTCAGCCTTGTTTCCTGCAAATACAAGTGAAATAAATTGGTGGAGTTACTGGTATTTTCCAGAGGTGATGCAGTAATACTTGGTAAAATCATCTGAAATTTTAAGTTTTCTGGGGTGTTTTCCTTAAAAATAGTTTGCAGTTTTCCATATTAGATTATAAGATCTGTCCATATAGAAGAGTATAGAGAGAGTTACAGTAGAGTAACACCTTCTTGGCTCATCTTTTTCTGTAAAAGCTTTTTTATTATTTTCTTTCACTGCTATAAGATGCATTAATGTTTTGTTACTGTTTTTGTCTCTTTAAAGCAAGAAGATGAATGTTGTCAATATAACTCATTCCTGTACTGGAGAACCCCGTTGCCTACTCTGGATTTGTCCGACATTCAGGATCTAGAGACTGGATCTCCGTCTCCATCAGGGTCTTCGTCTAGAGATGGAGAAACTGTACTGGCAACTAAAACTCCTTCGCGGACTGATACCATGGAGACTGAAATGGAGACCTGATCATGTAGCTTAGGGCTGCACATGAACTTGCAGGAAGGTCGTTCTTCTGCCTGGCAGGACAACCAGGCTGCTTCTGACTTCTTGAAGAAGCCGTGCTGTGTCCTTCTGCAGAGACAAGGTTACCCARGCTGATGGAAGAGTCACTTGTAGATACCTACCAGTAAGCTGGCTGGAGAGGTAAATTAATCTATAGAGTGAGGAGGATGCTGTGCTTATCTAGGAAGAATGCTTGAAAACATGAAGGCAAACTCAAAGGAAACTACTCAAAATCGTAACTAGATGCTATTGTTAGAAACAGCTTGATATATAACATACAGGGAAGAAATGGAAGATGATTCCACTGGTCCTGAGCAAAAAGGTTGTAATTGCAGTGCAGCAAAATTCAGTCTTTATCCTGTGAGGTTTTTTTTAAACATATTCCCCCGAAGTGCAGTGTTTCCTAGTGCATCRTTTTCCCTTTAATAGCTCAACCAAAAAAATAAGAGCCCACCAAAATGAAAATGACCGTTACCTTTTCTGTTCAAGCCAAATCAGCAGCAGCGTGGAGAGGGAAGGAAAAGGGATTCTTTTCTTCTGCAGACTGTTTTAAAAGTTGCTTCGCAGTTGGCTCATGAAGCAGCAAACAGCTAGTTTGTAGGCATTTGGTCCGTTCTCAACGCTGTTCCTATTCCTTTTGACAGTAGCTCTGAACCAATTAGTGATGAAAGGCAGGCATGTGCAAAGCTGTCGAGAAAAGTTAGTGCATCTTAAAGCTATCGTGTGTGCTTTCTAGCTGACTGAGGTCTGGTTTTTGCAAAGACCGTGGATCTTGAATGCTTGCTTTCTTTTTTTCTACACAAGTTTATTGAATTAGTGGATTTTTGTTATGAATTATGAACTTAATTTTTATCTTTTATTTATTTTACGAATATTTGTTTTCAGTAATAGAGTGAGATTTTAAGTTTCTGTCAGACTTTCAGACCTCAAAAATGTGATTTTATTTAAGCACAGTGAATACAGCTGGGATTTTTGTTGGTATCACTTTGAATAAAGCAACTTTTGATTTTTTAATGATGTATTTGTTAAAGACCAATAAAATTTTGCCTTTGTGTACTTGAGCATTTTGGAACTTAAGTTGCTTCTGTGGTTTTGTTATGTTCTTTATTTTGTTAGGTRTTTTTGCTTAAAATGTAGGTTTTAGGACATTTTCAGGATTTATCTGTAGTTCTAGTTGCTGATTGTTTTACGTTGAGTGGGCTTTTTAGAGCTTGTGGGAGAAGGATGGGATTGAATCAAGCATTTAATGAGTCAAACATCTAACTGCTATCAAAGTACTGAGATAGATACTTTAAATCTCAATGTTTATTTTGCTCAGACCTCTTAATATTAAGTACAAGAACATCAAGTAGTTCTTAAGGGATGCTCAGATTTTTAAAAGCAAAGCAAACTCCTWTTCTAGTAAGAATCTATCCACTGATAAATCACTGTTACATGTTTATYGTTGCTAGACAACTAGACAATATAYTTTTTTTTTTAACCATCAAATTATTTCTGTGCAGTGACATCTCTTACTCCTGTATTCACAGTGTTTCTAAGATTTCATGCCATCCATTGTTCCCAGGAGCCARTTTTTGCCATTATAAGCTAGTGTTTATGCAGAAACATTTTGTGATTAACATCTGCTTAGTGCTTCTTATACATGAAAGTCTATACAAGTGCTAGGCTGCACATTAGCATCAAAAATCTCTCTTTTTTCCTATGCTCACCGGACACATGCCTAAGAAAATTTATGATCGTCTTACATGCTTTTCTTTCTGTGACAAAATAAATGGTCTCTTTGAGAGCTCGAAGGCTTTGCCATTGTTTCAGAGGACTTTATGTGCAATGACGCCCCAGGCCAGCACTTTCCGTGCGGTTTGTTCCAGTYCTGGAGCCTGGGTTATGGGCTGGAATGTGACGGCCGCTTCCCGAGCACTCGCTGAGCTGATTCAGTTTTTCCATTCATCTGTTTGCAAGTAGAAGCAGACCTAAATGCTTTGGAAAACCTTTTGAAATGAATCTGAGAGTACAGGCAATATAGACTGAGCGAGRTAAAGAGGTATTGATGGAGTACACAGCCCTTGCACCAGGACCATCACAGAGCAGGATCAGCGAATGTTCTTGCTGTCCGAGTGRTACCTGCAGACACTTGGTGCCACTCTGGGCTACCCGAACATTAGCCTTGACTTCCACATTCATTTCTCAAAGTGTGAGAGCTTAATGTTTACTATAAGCAAGCCAAACATGTTTTAGTTTGCTCGTGTGTGCTGCTTTTGACTCTTGAGTAACTGCTGTCTCTGGCTATATCCAGAAGGAAGAGAAAATGTTATTCTTTCAATAATAAAATATCAGTACAAAGAAATTCTAAGACAAYTTGTGAGCAGGTGCAGATCTGCCAACTTTTTGGTAGCACTTTTCTTAAGCTGACAATCTTCCTTTGAAATAAACGTTCAAAAAAAAAGAGGTCATTCATATTCTCTCTAGATAATTGGCAGTTTGCTTTTTTTTCTTCTTGTAAAATTTTCCTTTCTAAAAGGAAGAACACCTATCAAAATTAAGAGTAAAGAAATAGGTCGTGTTTCTCAATTGAAAAACTTGAGCTCATTGSTGTATGTGTGGGGGAAGATGGTTAATAAAATAGAAGAATTACCGGTACATGATTTCGTTCTTGTAGTTTTTGTGGGATGGATTCTGTGTCCATTGCTCTATTCAGTGCATCAGACTTCCATCGAAGGTGAAGTCTGTCTGGGTACTGCTCTTGATAGAGACCTTGGGATGGAGTGTCCTTGGCTGCACGGAAGCCCGCCTGCCTCTGCTGTGTGGTACGTTTCAGAAATCATYGTTTGCCCTTGGTGTCTGTTTTTATTTTGTCATTGTGAAAAGCAAGATAAATTAGTCAAATAACAAGTGCATGCTCATAACAAATTCATTTTAATAAAGTAAGGAGAAAAACAAAGATTGCCCTGTAAATTGTTGAGGATGTTGTGTGTTGAAGTAGCACAATTTGCACAAGAAGATTGATCAGAAACAGATACATTGCTGTATTATTTCAAATCAGCCAACTGTTACTAGCATTATTGTTTCTCCTTGTAACCTCAAGTTGTATTTTAAAGGGGTTGTTTTGTTACTTGCTTGTGGTTCTGGTGACAGACGAGCCCCCCCCAGGAGAAGATTCAGACTCCTTCCTAGTGAGGAGTGTGAAGAACTGCTACCAAATACATTGTGCTGTATTAACACAGTGGCCATGTCTTAGGTGAGTGCAGAGCTGGCCACCAGAGCAGGGTGCTGTGGTTGCATCTTCAGGCCTGGGTCCATCTTCGGCACAGCTGCATTTACAGTAATTTGAATATGGTGGTGGCCAGTAATTTTACTAAATTTCTGGTTGTTGGGGTCATTGGTGCTCAATATTTTCTCCTATTGTCAAAGCCAAGAATTTAATGGTCATTAAAAAGTACGCACCTAATTACAAGGATGGTTGGAAAATCCACAGTTCTCCTCCTAAAACAGAAAATATGAGAGTGCAAATAGGTGTTCCTGAGTAGCTGTAGAGGTAAGAACTGTCCTGTGCCAGAAAGCTAGTCCTGCTTGTGGCAGATTTATTGTGGGGATCTGCATGTGTTTTTCTCGAAATACATGATGGTAGCTGCTGTGGAGAGGGGAGGCTGCGTGGACAGCAAAGCCCACGCTCAATAAACCACTTCAAATCTGCGGATGTGCTTGGGCGCTTGGGCTGGCTCGGTTGTTTCCACACCTACAGTTATAACCTTGTCTCTCTAGGTGGCAATAGACGAGCGCGCTACACGGCTGCRGACCCGCGGTGCTGTGGGTGTGCTTTTATTCTGAACTGCTACCAAGAGTTCCAGCAGCGACATCATGAATGTTAATCATTTCCTTACCCTGATACATAAATAAAGGCAGATCAAGTCACAAGTTCCTCATTTTAAGGTGACACAAGTTTTTCACCATAGTCCAAGTAGAAACATTTTGTAGGTTTTTGGTTCATCTCTGTTTTATCACTTTTCCCCTACCCTCAAAGCTCAAAGCAATCAATTTAAACACATGGAAATTTGTTGTCACTGCTTCTTAGCACTGTTTCCGTTAGTTACAATTGGACACCAAGCTTTATCTGATTGTGTGTTGGATGGAAATCTCGATCTGTGGCTGAAGGCTACGTGAATTGTACTCGTTAAATATGGGGCTGAAAAAGGTAAGTATGCTACTTCGTAAGGGACTAAGTCACGGGGCAGTGTTTAAATGTCAGTATATAGGTGGCAAAATATATTCAAAATGTATGAAAAAAACAGTTTTTTTTTCTTTTCCAGGAGTGATAGTGGAAGTTTGCTTATTTAAAAAATGGACATCATGTCACTGAAACAAGATGTGACTTTTAATTCACTTGTAAGAACTTGAAAGGATTATTGTTTTTTTAAAGCCATATAGACTGTGTTTTTTTCACTGTCGCAGAAGTACTTTCTTTATTACTGGTATGTTACTCAGGAGGGGAAAAAAGCATGAAAGGAAGATACAGGAAAAGTCAGTTTTCATAATTTTGTTATTTTACTTTGTTTTAARACTGGCTGTGATAAATGTTAGTTTTTCTGGTTTCGTTCTAAATATGAAATGTTCTCCTTCTGAAGCCTGATGTTGTAAAAACAGTATCTAATTCCTTCTGATACTTCATTCTGTGGAATATGAAATGTAAAATTTTCATTTTCTTCCTGGCATTTCAAACAAACTAATTTTGATTCTTATTACATAAAAGGCATTTATTGCGACAAAAACTAAAACAAAATCCTACTGTTTCATAATTGTTAGTTACAATATACAGTGTTACTTTGATCAGATATCACAAAATGTTTCATGTGTGTATCCCTTAACAGTTACTGCTTTTCTGTTTTTAACCTTTTATGTGTTAYAGAAACTTTCTGTGATGGGAAACAGGGAAGGATACTTCAGGCAAAGCTCTTGTGTTCCAGTTTATAACATGAAATCACAGAGGATCCACAGACTAGGAGAAAAAAAAATGCAGCTTATGTTGATTTGAGGGGAAAAAAAATAATGACCAACAAGGCAAAATGTACTTTGCACATTAATAGTAATATAAATTTGGGAGTTTTTAAATGTAAATAGCTTCATATCTGTGATACAGAGCAGCGCCAGGGTGGAATTCTGTTGGGTTTTATGTCCAGAATGTGGATTTTTTCTTAGAGTCAGTACATACGATGCAAATACATGCTCCAAGAGATTTAAGGATAAACTTGGTTAGCGACATCTTTTCTGAGTCAAACAAGAGTATCCAGTGAATGCCTACTTGGTTTTGTGCCACTTCCTAGTATAAAAGGCGGAATAGGATCCCCATTCTCTTACCTGCATTTCAGGGCATTCCTTCCTCTCACCTTTCTACTGTGCAGCTTATCTAGGAATACCCTGAATTTATCAGTGCTAACTACTGCAATCTCAGACTGGTTTTATCTTTTTGCTCTTTTTTTCTTGCTCATTCTGAAGCCAGAAATGCTGATTTATTAAGGCCAATCATGTCAGTGTTGAATTCAGAGGTAAAAATGTTCCAATTTCTTAACATCATGTAATGATTACCAGTGACTATCATTGACTTAAAAGAATGATAACTGTATTWTTGAATTCAGTACGAAAAAATGGAATCATTTTACCTTTTAGGATATGATTTTGAAGGTCTCTGTATTTCATCAGTACTGTTTTACTGCAGGTTTGAGTAATGAAATCTCATTTTTAAAACATGCTTTTCTGATTCAGCAYCCTGCATTGTGGCAGTCCTTTAAGAGTTTTGTGATTTCAGGACAGCTCATAGGAGCAAGCAGCAACTTTGGCAGCATTTACAAGAACAGATGCTTAGATTTTTATCTGAAGTCTCAAGCAGTCAACGAAATAATTATTTTTTTAATGTGGTATCCTAAGAAAGCAAAGCACTCTAGCATGATCACATAGTATGTTAAAAGCAACGACAAAAAAAAAATCA